GAGTTTGATCCTATTAATTTGCCAATCGTCACAGCGTACTCTCTGATAGGAATTACAATAGCTTGTTCCTTTTTTGGAAAGACATTGTTCATAATTGCTGATGCATAGGTACGTGGGTTTGCTGTAGTTGCCTGGTTTTCTTCAGATGCCATTTTTGGATCTTTGTTGGTCTTAGAATTAGTTAGATCCCTGTACTTAGAGATCATGGTTTGCATATCCCCATCACTCATAAATAAAGCATTTATGAGAATTTTATGTAGCTAGTATCAATGGAAACACAGATACACTTGTATCAGTCGAGGAACCACAATGTAACCGTACGAAAGTAATGTAAACAAAACATATAAGTCAGTGGCACTCGCGAACGATCCAGCGACGATTCGTATAATGTTTGTTTCGTAAGACGGGTAAACTTTCCAGCATATTGATTAGGCAACGACGTATACAAAATAGCGAAAGTAATATGATGACTAGGTGGAATTAAAAACATCAGACACGGTGTTGAAACCCGATGGGATATGTACAGTGACGAGCAAAAGTATAAACACGCGATTATAATACTGTCGATTCTTCAAACTCAGGAATGAAAGATCGTTAAAAAAGTAGCGTGGTAATTATTTACTTTAGTGATTACTCGCCAAATATGTTGTCAAGGTCACCGTTATGAAGATTTTTTCTTTATACATGTTACCGCCGCTCGCCCTTTGTTTTCGAGATATTTGCAAAAATAATAAAATAATCTGGTTGAGTTGGGGATAAAAAATTAGACTTTATTCTTTACTATTATTATTATTATCGTTATTATTAACATAAATTGGAAAAATGTCTGCCATTATATCAAAAATAACTCGTGAAATACCGTATCTGTAACTGTTTACATAGTGTCATGTAAAATTTCAATCATAATATTTACACCATATCAACTTGGTACAAACCAATATTCAAATACCAGTATACAAATAATGTATACTATGTCAAGCTAATATCGGATAATATAAATAAAGAAAATTGAAATAGAAAATGAATGCATGGCCGACCGCCTTACGGCGGCCGGTATAAGAAAATCTAACCCAGATCTAATCCATTATATTAGTTAGTAGGTAGAATAGTTAGGTTTAAGTAAGGTTTGGGCTACTCAAATTGAGTTTTTAACCTTATATACGCATCCATTGTGTGATGTATCTATAGAAATAATAAACAATCGGCGATTCAACGTTTACACACACGCTGCCACAATCTCAGAACTAAGGCCGAGATATGTATAGAGAAAAAATCTTCATAACAGTGACCTTGACAACATATTTCAAGGTCATCGAAATTGGTGAGGAGTCGCTAAAGTAAATAATTTACCGTAGCATTACCAACGCAACACTTCATTTTCATTTAAAAAAAAATTAGAAGAAAATGTAGGGAAATTTAAGAGTCCTAATTGATGGTTATTACTAGCGTTTTTGCTATAAATAGAATTGACGTTCGATAATTGCATAGAAACGTCAAACGAAACGATAAGAAATATTTTCTGTGAAAAATTGCAGAAGAATGCCAAGTTGTTTATAGAAGTTAGGCGAGAAGGATTACTCGTCTTTGTCTTGTAAAGAGAAACCGTTAAGATCAGCCGAGAAACTATTATGTATTTTTATAATAACGATGTTAACTGATGTTAAACTGATGCATTGAACAGTTTTCCTTTGATAGAAAATTAAAAAATCAGACTTGAACACCCTTAATTGAAAGACTTTCACCCAAGTATCGTATTAACTTATACTGTGAGCGTCGCGGCATTTATTACAACGTTCTAATTACTTTCCCGTTACTAGGCATCTATCAAGCGCGATCCTGGGAGCTTTCCGGGATTAATTACATTCGCCTCGGTACTGTTTAACAGCAATTGATTATTTAAAAGCTACTCCGCGAGGTAATAATTGTTTGAATAATTCAACGCACGTCACCGCTCAGAAAATCCTAGTAATTTATTACCGGCGATTTTTGCTTTCAGCTCCCAGCGGCGCGGTGAAAACAACAATTCGAAAATTACAAACAAATAACGGGACGCCGGTCAAGGGACGCGCGACCGTTGTCACGCTGGATGGAATTTTTGCTACGGAATCGGAATATTTCCCGAGCGACGAATTTATCTCCGTACTCGCGACGCCGTGACGGCACTTTTTCAAATAATTTTCCCTCCGAGAAATGGAACGACGTTATCGCGGAATCGCATTCCCGCACGACGCTCCGTATCGAAGAATTTAGCGACATTTTGCAAAAAAACAACCTCCAACTATCGATATCCACCGTGTTTTTATCGTTTCCCAAACGTCCATCAACCTCGAAAATAGAGAAATACTATTTAATAAAAATTCTACTTGCGACGAACGTTTACAGTTGAACGTTTTACAATAATATTTGTCCCAAAGAGAGATTATACAGGAAACATTTTAATGGGAGATTCTAGAGGCAAAAATCAAGGATACTAATTTGTTGATTGAGGCTTCGTTAAAAAGTTATAGAAACATTTCCGGCCACACAGTATATTTTCGATTAGGAATTTTTTTCTCGAAAGTGCGTAGGATTTAGGGGGCATGTGTATTCACAAAAAGGGATTGTAATTGACCCCCTCAACCGAAAATAATTTTTCCAGAACGATTTGAAATTTTTTTTCTCGTCAAAAAATTTAGACACCTGTCGATTTGTTTTAAAAATTCGTTTTCGATTTTTAATAATTTTGTTTGACGCACTACAGTTAAGTTGTCTAATACTTTTGTGTAGATACCCATGAGCTTTACTTCAGAGATAAGTTTCATTGAAATATATTCACTATAGCAGGAGTTATGGCTGTTTGAAAATTGGACCATTTTTATGGGGTTTTTCTCACTTTACGGGGTCAAGGAACAACTTTTTCAATATTCTTAGAATTTCTACATATTCTTCACCAAACTACGCATAGTTTGCCATTTGGAAAATTAAAGTCCTCCAATCCGTTCAAAAGTAATGATATTTTGAAGATACAGAAATTATATTTTCGGTAAACAATTTTTTTCTCAAAAGTGCGTGGGATTTCAGGGGTATGTGTATTAACCAAAAATTATTGTAATCGTCTCCTGCAGTTAACAATATTTTTTCCAGAATGATTTAAAACTTTTTAATTACCCTGAAAAATTTCTCCACCTACTGAATTTTTTTCTCGAAAGTGGTTAGGATTTCGGGGGTATTTCTATTCACCAAAAATGATTGTAATTGATCCCCGCAACCGAAAATAATTTTTCCGTGAATGATTTGAAATTTTTAAATTTACTTTTGTTAATAACTTTTTAACGAAGCCTCAATTAACAAATTGATATTCCTGACTTTCATTTAATTTTGGTCTCTAGAGTCTCCCATTTAAATTTTTCCCAGGAGTGGCCGAACACCCCGTATAATATATAATTTAATTTAATCTGCCAATCAAGAGATCTTTTAATTTTCGTTTTATACTATTTAAGTACTTCAATATATTTGTTATACTATATAGTTGTACTGCTACTTACCGACTTCGAAAAGAATTCGTCTTTGATCGATCAATAGGACAAGCATTACTTGTTTCGAATTTATTAAATCACCAGTTTTTAACAGCACCAATATTATATCATGTATTCTTAGGATTATTTCTCCGTGTCTTTCACAACTTAATAGTTACGTTCGTAAATGTCAGTGAAGCCTTCGACTCGAGCCGCTTGCGTTTCGCAAAACGTGGAAAGGTAGTCGACGTTTTACGAAAACATTGCTCGATACAATGTACTTGCAAGGCTGTATAGCGTAATGAGAAAACCGCAAAGACTATTGCTGCGAGACGACACCGATGAGAGGCGGTCGAGAGACAATTAAAATAATAACTGGATAACGGCGAGAGATCAAGAGAACAGACGGGGAAAATAATGACGGTCGAGCCTGTAGCGCCAGAACCAACATTCCATTGAAAAAATAAACGTGACCGGTGAGTCACGACGTATTTTTATAGAAAATCAATCGAATCGAACTAAATTGGACGCCCGTTCCGAAAATATCACCATTGGAACTATCGGGGAGCAATGGCGATCGCAATGGCAAATTAATTTTGTCGTTTCGACGTTGATCGCTGCTGTTAGGAAATTATGAATATCGTTCGATCATCGGGACGCGATCCCCATTATCGTACAATTTTCCTGTTTAACAGCTACAATTTCGCACGAACGGTCGCAAATCCCACCCACACGGCTTAGAGGTTACTTTTTCCCCGCAATTTAACTTATGTCGAGCACATTCTTCACGTATCTAATTCTGCCCGCTCGGATTCTGGTCACGCGCATCTAAGGATATTGCCCATCCAGTAACACGGACACTACTGTATAATGCTTTAATCCCGTCGCGCCTGAAATATGCATGAACCATTCGGTCCCCGTATAATAATAAATATCCAGTGTTTATCGAGTGAATACAGCACAAACTTTTACGATTAGCCTCGCACCGAATGCCAATGTCGATCTTCCAACGTGTTGCACGCGCGTGAATTGCACCGTAAAAAAATCATATTGCTTACACCTTTACTACATTTACGCAGACCTACATTAAATTCGATCTCTTCGGCACAGGTTAATACAGTAATTTAATTTCGTTTTCTTCGGAAACTTTATAATTTTTTTTTTATTTATACGTACTTGCTTATGTAAACATTATCATGAATGTCATTGAAGACATTTGAAACTTTGTGGATTAATATTCTAATTATTGTTTGAGTTTATAAGTGCTACAAAATTTGGTCAGGTACGAAACCTACAATAAAATTGCTGAGAGAAGTTAGTTTTTCAAAATTTCTCTGCCCAAGATTAATAAGAGGTGTCTACCGTGAGTCACTTTGTCGAAAATGTTGATTTCCCTTTGCCCCGAACGAATTAATTTGGCGTTTATGTCCTTATGACAAATGAGAAGATAATTTTTGACACTTCCTGAGAACGAGGGCTGCGAAAACGATCTGATCTCGATCTCACCTCCGCGGAAAGGATCATCCGTGACTTGGTCGATTACACCGGTACTCGAGTACGAGATTTCATATTTTCCTCCCGCGAAATGAACGCGGCCGATTGTACGAGCGCAACGAATGAAATAGCACTGATCGAACACGAAATCACGCGGTCAAACTATCGTATTCCGCCCCACCAGAGTCTTTTCTTTCCTTTACGCGAGAGCACAATGTGTCGGGTGCAGCCACACGAGAAGGGATTTCGATGCTTATCGGGTCGAGAACGGCTATCTGCATTCGAAACGGTACGCTCGATTGTTACATCTCAGAATCGATCCTGAGATCTGCGGCTTCCGAGCGATTTTATTGCGAACACGCGAAACGGCTGGTTGAAACTGACCGAATCTGTGGAGGAAAATTGAGGTGCTTCCAGTTGCTTCGTTTTCCTTTAAAACCGAGAAAGACGGAGTCGGGAATCGGTTCGCTGCGATTCGTCCGAGCATATTTTTACGGATTTTACTTGCACAAATATCTAGGATAATATTTATCCAGAGCTTTCATCCGTGGGCCATGATTGAAAATATTTCTACAACAGTTTATTCAGATACAGATCCGCACCTCACGGATTTTATTTGAGTAATAATCGTGCAAACTAGATTTGGCCATTCATTCGAACAATTCTCTTCGATATCTAATGAATTTTAAAAGTCTTTGAATATTGTAAACTGCTATCGAAACTCAATATAAAATATTTAAAATTTTTGATACTTATCACTACATCTTGTTAAGTATTTTGGTATCGAATAAGAAATTAATATCAAATAAGCAAAAAGAAAGAAAGCAGCTAATTATTTTTGGCAATGGAATACAAAATATAGTAGTTTTAATTGCAACATTATACAGAAATTATTTTATATGTTTTCTATCCAAACAAAAATTTAAATAATATAAGGCTCGTAAATCTCTATCATTATGAATTTATTAAATTATGTACAGCAGGATAGCTCAACCATGGAGAGACCATAATCCGCCGTTATTTGTTTATTTTCGAACGTTGAAGGGTAAATCGGATTACCGGGTGGCTCTGACGAGTAAAATTTATTTCCCACGATAATCCGGAATATCCCTGTAAATATAATAAATAACAAAACGGCCCTTGTAGTATGTTTTTGTAATGGAATAATTTTATAATATCGGAACGAAATCTATGTAAACAGTTTATGTAATTTATTGCAACTTTGAAATGTTTTTTACTGAAACGTGACTTGTTCGAAAATAGATAGCTTATTTTCGTCGAAATTCCGTACTAAAATACCATTCTACTGCGAGCTAGTTAATCTATCGCAATGGCTGCTTGAACGACAGCAGTTAGACAATCAATTTTAACGACATTGGAACAGAATCGCTGTAATTAGATATCTCAATGTCTCTATTTCCTTTCACGAACGGTGGCACGTATATTGTGACTTCCACATGATTCAAACTATGACGTAAGTCTCTCGTTAAAGAGATTTTCATCAATAGTTCCCCACCTTGTAAGCTAACACCGACTGTTACGTGTTATTCTAATTATTATGGAAATTATTCCGAATACAGAAAAATAATATTTCCGTTCGTAAAAGTATCTTCGAAACTATAACCATTTCGATCGAAATAGGTTTGATAATTCAAATTTTGATACCTCCAAAGATCCATAGTCGGTTATTTAGCATTCAAGGAAATATTCTTTAGGGATGAAAATGTATTTCGGGGCTTCCGTTCGTGGTTCTCGTTGCCAGACTCATCCGACCGAATAGCAAGTGCTTCTGTGTATCAATTAATTAAGATTACGCAATATTGATTCAGCGTGCCTCGACTGGGGATACTGTACGGCGGTTTCGGAACACCGTTAATCATGCTTATTAATCGTCGGGATTAATGGCGAAAGCCTCTTTCTTAGTCGTTGCAAAAAAATGCCCCCTGTGTATTCATAATTCCTCTAAACGATTCTTGCTTGATTTATTATCCTTCTTAGTGTAAAACATTCTCTGTTAGGCCCTGAATTCTTTCTGAACAAAAAATATATTATATATCGAGATTTTTCTTTTTCCACGTAACTTTACTAAATTACATTCTATAACTATGCATTTAGTAGACGAGATAATAAACGAGACCAAAGGGATGATATAATAGTTTTGTCGTATTTGTTCTGAAGCATAACGCCTTGTCGTTTGGCGAGTGCTGGTCGTATTGTTTATCTTGTAAAAATAAAGGCCAGAGCCGGGGAAAAAATGCCTGTAAATCACAATTAACCTCTCTTGGAATTGTATTTTATTCGTTATTTGCCGTGCTCGCACGGGGAAGTGCGCATTAACTTTTATCGTAAACCGCCGCCATTACAATGGCACTAAAACGTTGTAAATAATCCAGATACCAGTTATATTCATTACGTTATCTCCTAATGCGCACGCTTTAAACAAAAGTACCGCGATTCGAAGCGTACGAAGTTTGTTACGTCAGTCGTATTAAATTTATTTCATGTTAGAAATAAAAAGTCGTAATTTCAAGTGAGCTTTTTAGTTGTTTCTTAAGAGTTTTTTTTAATTGGAAGTTTAAAGTCGCATTAACTGCAAAGGTTATTAACGACTCCACTAAGAATTGCGGGACGTTAGGGGTATGTGATTGGGCGCTGTGCTGCCAAGAGAGTCTTCATAGTTTATCAAGTAATCCGATGGTGTTGCAAAAATGTATCACTGCGTCTTGGTGTGATGACGATGCAAGTAGTTCCATGAGGTTAACCGTGAAGTTCAGTTTACTCCTTATTTGCACATATTTTCTGCATTCGATGATGATGTGGGAGGACTATTGTTGAGGAGGTGTGCATGCGATAATTTACTGTGACTGGTTCTGTTTCGCGTTAGTGCTACCTGCTGTTTTCTATTGAATTTGGAGTTTGTTGTAATGGCGTAAAAGTTTTGAATCGATCTATGAAGTAATCTTGCCTTGTGGTTTTGCCATATCCGGTTCCAGGATTCCTTCCACAAGAATGCAATGTGCCTATTGATATCTGCGGACGTGTTGAGTAGCGGTTGGTTGTTGTAGTCTAAGGTTTGTGCAATTTTCGCTTCCAGATCGGCCATTTCGTTTCCAAATATGTCCTTGTGAGATGGGATCCATGCTAATGTAATTGATTTGTTGGATTTGACCAGTTGGTCGTAGGATTCTTGGATTTCGGTATAAATTTCAGTGGTTTGTTTCGTGTTTTGTATTTTCACAATGGTGGAAACGATAAATTTAGGATCAGGAGAACTGTCTATAAAATTAAGAGCCGAGAGAAGTGCGTATGATTCAGCTGTATGTACACTGTTGATGGGGTTTAAGCCGAATTTAGCTGTTTTATTTTGCATGACTACGGCCGCTCCTGTTCTGCCCATCTTGTCTTGAAATTGGTGTAAACTTTGCACAGGTTGAAGAATACTTCTTTCCACTCGTTAACGCTTAGTTCGTCCTTTTTGTTCTTTGTGAGTGATAAGTCGATGGTCGGTGTACTCAATGTCCAGGGAGGTATCTTATGGGGTCTGTTTTTTTCCATAGCCGGTAGCTTGAATTGAAGTTCGTCGAGGTATATTTGAATTCTGTGGTGGAGGGGAGAGTTGTGCATCTGGTAGTTTGTATTTCGTTTATCTCTTGGGAAGCAGTCTTCATAGACAATTGGGTTGGTAGATGTGGCGGCCCTTACGGCATATTTTAGGCTCAACAGTTTTCTTCTATGCCTCAAAGTCGTTTCACCGGCTTCATCTAAAATACTTCTTAACCCGGTATTGTGGGCTGTTTCTAGTTTTCTAAGAGTGTCTGATTTGACTGAATTGTATATTATAGATGCATAGTCAATTTTGGATCGAACAATTGCATTATAGGCCTGCGAGAGTACGGTTTTATCTGCTCCCCAGTTGTTATATGCTTTTACTATTTTCATCTTTTTTTTGCATCTGTTGATGAGATTGTGAACATGGTTACTCGATGCAACTTTTGAGTCAAAGTGTACTCCGAGGATTTTAGAACAGGTAACAAATTGAAGCTGGTTTCTGCCAATTTTTAAGACCAATGGAAGAATTTCTCGGCGTTTAGAGAATACAATGCATTCAGTTTCCGCAGTTGAACATTTCAATCCATTTGTTTCAGACCAGTTGTGGGGTTTATTAAGAGCCTGTTAAATGAGCTGCCGCGTGGTGTTAATGGATTTTCCTTTACAAAGGATGGTGATATCATCAGCAAGTATTCTTGAAATAACAGGAGGTTTAGTGATACAGCAGGCGTTGTTAGTAGCTATTAGGAATAACGTGACGCTGAGGACGGTTCCTTGAGGTACACCATTTTCTATTACGGTTTTCTGTGACAGACTATCGTTGAAACAGACTTGAATACTTCTATTGTTGATGAAGTTTTCGACGAAGTGCCACATGTTGCCACCGATTCCCATTTCATGGAGTTTGCTTAAGATGTGCCGTCACAAAACCATGTCATAGGCTTTTTCAATATCTAAGCTAACCACAAGAACGTGTTCATTGTTGTGGAATGCTTTTCGGATGTGAGATGTGGTGGAGTGACTCGTCCCAAACCTGAATTGGTTGTGTTCACGTGTAATTTCTAAATAGTGAAGAATTACGACTGTTGAGACGAAGCTGACAAATTCTTACTTCTCTGTTGATTTCATACTAATAACCATGGTGGATCGTGCACGTGCATCCGGTGCAAGTTAAATTCATACAACGCGACGGATACACGTGGAAAATTCAATAACACCACCGGAGCTGCACGCGTGCTTGGAATTGGATCAAGCGGGCGAATCACGCGAGTTTAAACGCGTCCGCGGCAAAAATCTCGACATCGCGGGCTTTTACAGTAACTTGAATATTAAATTTATTTATTCTTCGCGCGGCTCTCCTATTCGTTCGCTTTTTCATTAAGGACCTTTTATCGAAAGAATTTAACAAGACTGGTTTCACGCGATTTTCTAAAGCTTCCGATCGACAAATATTTTTCTATAAAATTGTATTTATTCAAACTCTCCAAAACGTGTAATATAATATCGCAGACAAATTCTTGATTCACGCATTAAGCAGTGGTTTCTCCAACTTTTTAGAAAATACCTCTCTCTTCTGGAAAAAATAATATTTAAATAACTACAGCTTATTAAAAA